AATAATCACAAATGATAATGACAAGGATTATGTCAATATTCTCGGTGCGTAGGTATACTGAGAATATTGACATAACCGAGATTGTTGTTTTTCTTCGTCTTTTTTAACACAGTTCGATAGGAATAATTCCAAGATCTCGTCATTACTCTGGATGCGTAGGTATACTGAGAATATTGACATAACCGAGATTGTTGTTTTTCTTCGTCTTTTTTAACACAGTTCGATAGGAATAATTCCAAGATCTCGTCATTACTCTGGATGCGTAGGTATACTGAGAATATTGACATAAACGGGATTGTTGTTTTTCTTCATCTTTTTTTTACACAGTTCGATCGGAATAATTCCAAGATTTCGTCAATATTCTCGATGCGTAGGTATACTGAGAATATTGATATAAACGGGATTGTTGTTTTTCTTCGTCTTTTTTAACACAGTTCGATCGAGATAATTCCAAATTCCCATTGAACCAACTTATTGAGCATCAAAGTTCCGCTAAGATACCATAACATAAAAGATTATTACAGTAAAAGCGAAATAATCCTTAGAAAACTTTCTATGTAGATTTAATGATGTAATAAGACGTGTCCTGACTTAAATATAAACTTAATATGTTTTGGCACTATAGGAAAAAGGAACGAATATTTGCTTCTATTTGGTTATTGTAATACAATATATATAGAGTTAGTATATTGTCAAATATATAATATTAAACATGTATATACATTATATATATTATATGTATCTTACTAAAATTGTAAACACAAAAGTATATGAGTATTATTGAATATTTATTATACATCTTAGTAATATTATAAACGCCAAAGTTTGTTAGAATGGCTGGATGTTTGTTACTCTTTCACGTAAAAACTACTCAACGGATTTTAATAAAACTTTACAGTAATATAGCTTATATAACAGAAGAACAGATAGGCTATAATACAAAAAGATATTATGTAAATTAGGCGAAATATAGTGATAAATGTCAAGTAAGAGTATTGCAGACGAAGTTACTCATTATTGAGGACAAAGATACTATCCTGTAATTTCACAGCCTTATTCAAATTTCAAATTCAAAATATCTTTATTCATGTAGGTCTATTACAGACTCTTATGATATGTCAAATCTACCGTCAGTTCGGAATGATATCGAGATGAGAAGAACTGACAAGAAACTCAGCTCGTAATTTTTTTCAAATAATAGTGGAACATGTTTATAATAGAGAGAGAATAGAGTGACCACCAACATATGTTATCGCAAAGAACAAAAAATTTAATCAGTGTTCACAACCTGAACAGACCAGTCCCCACAAGCAGCACCCGTTCACGAGTATGACGTATGAGCCAGCCATCATTGTACTCAACCATATTTGAGGGAGCACATCGACCCGGCCCACCACGCCGCCACAAGTTTGAACTTTATAGCGAGCATGACTGTTTCAGGTTACTACGTCAATTATATTATTTACAGCATAGGCTGTACCGATCACAGTTTTCACCCATTACAATATTAAATTTACATTATTTAATTTACAATATGTCATTACAAAATTTATAATAAGTTTATTGTTATTACATTATCCATGTCAATGGGAAAAATTATATGCCTTATAACAAAAGTTAAAATTGTAATTAAGTCCACACATTGTAGTCGTTTAAGTAGTCGTTTATTTTATAATAAGCTTTAGAGCAAAGTGTTTTTTTTACATGTATCTTAAATTTGGCTTCACTTAAATTTAAAACACTATCTGGCAATTTATTATAAAAACGTATACAATGTCCCATGAAAGATGTACTTACTTTTTTGACCTTATTTCCTTTTATTTCCTTTTATTTCCTTACCTTATAAACAACATAGCTTACAAAGTAAGCTGTTAACCAGCTGAAATAGATGTCTATCTAACTATTTATAACTTTGCAAAGTCATCTCCATGGGTATTTGTCTAAATACCCATGGAGATGACTTTGCAAAGTCAACATTGGTAAAAATATCCAATTCCGTTCCGAAACTGTCCGAAACTGAAATCGAAATTCGGTCTCAACACATTAATATGCACATCTAAGCCGTACCTCAGCGGTGTACGAGGCCACTAATTAAAAAGTTAAGCGTCTGCTCTGGACAATTTTAGTACTTTTTGTTAAACCGCCCGGCTCGCTACCTTCTATTAACTCTGCTCGGTCATTGTGTACGGTACAGAAAGTAACCCGGCGGCTTGCCGATTGAGTTTCGAACAAGTTTCACATTCAACGAGATGTCGTGTCGCGACATGTCCGAGTATGTGCTAACTATTAGATAGACGAGACTTATGAGACTAGTACTACAGTTCTTCTCAATTGGATCTATATACTGATGGATGGTAGGGAAAAAATTATATTATAAAAAAATACATTCATAAGCGGCTAAAATGTCCTACATGGATAAATGATTTTTGCATTTGAATTTACTACTATTAGTTACTAATATTTTTTTATGTAATAAATAGAGCTGTTTTTTTTTGTCGATAAAAATATTGGAAAGTTTACTAAAAGCTATTAAGCTTAGTCTACCTATCATCATGTTTAATATCATTAAAATCCGTTCAGCCGTGTTTTCATGAAAATGTAATGAAAAGACTGACTGTAAAAAAAGACGCACTTTCAAATTTCTAATATAACTAGTTACTCGGGTATACATGTATTATATATATAAGATTTCATTAAGATTTTTATATATATAAGATTATAAGACTTTAAAAAATACCGCTTCAAAATCCGCTGCGTAGTTTTAAAGATAAGCATACATAGAGACGGACAGACAGCGACAGCGACTTTGTTTTATACTATGTAATGATGATAAAGAATAATAATATACATCGATAGCGACTCATTTCGATTTCATGCATGCAGTATATAATTATACACATATATATAAATACTATATGCTTGAATGTATATATATAAAGCTTTCTTGAATATATTCTCGAAATAATAGTGATACGCTCAAAATCTGTGGAGTGATTCAGAAGAATAGCAACTTTGCTGTTTACTGCTATTATTTTATTTAAATACAGCATTAAAATAAATATATATTTAAATTAAAATATTCATTGAGTATTCAAATCTTAACACTACTTTTAAGACAACGTGTCTGCGAAGATATGCAAATTGTGAATGTAACGCAGTTTATTTGTTAGTATTATTTGAAGTCGACCAGACAGATAGACAGTCTTAGTGTGTGGTGTTTTTATTTAAAACTAACTGTAGTGTATACACTATATCTCTAATATATAAAATTCTCGAGTCAACATCTACTTGAAAAAAAAAATGAGCCGAGTTTCTTGTCAGTTCTTCTCATCTCGAAATCATTCCGAACTGACGGTAGATTTGACTAATTAGTTTAGTTATAGCATAATTAGTTTAGTATTATAGCGTAGTTTCTATTTTTATTTTATATTTTATTACTAACATAGGACTTATCCTATGTTAGTGTAGTTATTTATTTATTTATTTACATGCTCTCGGTGAGTATTACAGTATAATACCAATGCACTCATCAAGGATTAAACTTACGCAATCCATAGGTTAATAGTAATAATTATTATAATAACAACAGCTGTTTTCTATATATAAATATATCTAATTATTCTTCATCATCATTACATAGTGTAAAACAAAGTCGCTGTCGCTGTCTGTCCGTCTCTATGTATGCTTATCTTTAAAACTACGTAGCGGATTTTGAAGCGGTATTTTGTAAAGTCTTAATTATAAGACTTTAAAAAAAACCGCTTTATGTATATAAAAATCTATAAAATCTATCTATAATATATATATATAGAAAACAACAACTATAAAAATAATAATAATAATTTAGACACGAATAATACCTATTCTAGTATTGTGACTCCACAAAATTTGTTACCGCTTTGTGAAACTCTGGGGCAGTCACAAATAATAATAATAATAATAATAACTATGTCATTAAGCTGTTTCTAACAAAATGGATTTATGTCATTAAGCTGTTTCTAACAAAATGGATCATGTTGTCTGAAATACATTATTATTATTATTATTATTATTATTATAAGAGTCTGTAATAGTAGGTCTATTACAGATTCTTATCATCATCATCATCATCATCATCTGCTTCTTCCTTATCCCATTTATTTGGGGTCGGCGTAATATGTTTATATATATGCTTATGCATGAATAAAGATATTTTGAACTTAAAAAGAGAGTGTTATTTATCATACTCTTCCAAAATTTTTATATGTATATTTGGTTGATCTGGGAATAGGTTGTTATCAATTTTTATATCTCTAAGTGATAAGGGTAACCCACCCCAAAACAGTGTTCTTTTTATTTTTAGGGCACGGTTTTTGATTTTCGAATTCTTATGATGTTTGTTTTTATTCATAATATAAATATATGACTCATGACATCAGGATTTTCCTACTACGCGAGGAAGTTAGGTTTGGTAATTAATTTTATACGATATTGTAAGAAAACAATTTTTTTTTTGGTACGTAGGTATCTGCAATCAGTACTGGTACTATAAGCAGGTGAGTTGTTGGTAGTAGGCGTGGGAGGATCTCTATCCTTTGACAAAGTCCCCATGTTTCAGCTAGCTAGAAATCTTTCATCCAGCTCAAGGATATTTGATCTTTTTAATCTTTTTGCTGGGTTGTTAGCTAAGAAAACAAATAATAAAATCTATACATATAAATAAAATTGGAGTGACTGTATGTAATATTGAAATAACCATTTTTTACTACATGCATATAAATATACTAACTACGGTACATACACCAAAATAACATTTTTTACAATTTTTGTCTGCCTGTTTATTCCGGCTAATCCCTGAAATGGCTGGACCGATTTTGATGAGACTTTTTTTAGTAGGTAGGTGATGTAATAAAGAGTAACTTAGGCTACTTTTATTTTGGAAAAATTCTCTAATATTTTTTTTCTTAAAATCCACGCGGACGACGTTGCGAGCTACAGCTAGTAAATTAATAAATACTTACCGGCATAGTTTGACTACCGTGGAGGCTTGTTATCGCCGCTTGCGCCTCCTGGTGTGAGCTGAACTTTACAAACGCACAACCTGCAACAAGACAAAACACAATTGTAAATAAAGTAATTCTATTATATTTTATTGTAAGTTATATATATATAAATTCAAATTTCATGTAGGACACTTTAACTGCTTATGAACGTCAATTTTTTTACATTATAATTTCAATTTTTCCTTTCGTCCAGTTCAGCATATAGATCAAATTGAGATGAACTGGCAAGAAACTCAATTGAATTACTTTTGTTTAACAGCTAGTTTATTTACAATGTATGTTTATATAGATGTCTATGTTTAACTTTAAATGAAAATCTCGTGCATAAACAACTATATATATAGTAATAAATATATATAAATATATATCTATATTTCTTCATAGATGACAAGGGAAAGATACACCCGCCGTTATCAACGGTTTCCGCTGGCGGGATACTAGTGGAGGATGATAAAATGAGCGTGAAGTCACGTCAGTTCATCCCTCTTGGCAAATGGCAATGCTACGACGGTTTTCAGTTATGTTATGTCGCGTACGCATGGTAAATATAGTAATTAATAAGTAAGAGTAGGTAATATTAACAGAACAGAAGAATAAGTTGGAGAAGATATGTAGAGACTTGGATTATCACCTTAAGAAAGGATAGGCTTACTTTCGAAATGAATTTCCATGAAAATCCTGAAAAATGTACAATGATTTGCTACCCATAATAACTCTGTTAAGGTATATTTGAAATCATACTATAGAATTATATAATTATAATATAATAATATATTATAATTATAATATATAATTATAATATAAATAATCCATATTTCTTTATAAACTGAAAATTTCATTTCTAAGAAGTTGACATTATTTTATCTATTTCATTACAATTTGTTCATGTTCAAAAAATATCATATAGTTCTATTTATTTGTCAATACTATAACAAAATAATAATTACTGTAGATTGTATAATTACGATCTTGGTATAGCTGTATAAAATCTCGTCTTCGCTTTAAAAAAAGAAAAAAAAAATCTACTGAAAATTTGGCGCGTAAAATGGAATCTTAAAAAAGGCGACGTCGTCGGATTATCGCTCAATTTTTCAATAACAAGCTGTCAGGGCACAGTGGTGGGTAGTCGGGTATCAATCTTGGTTTCCCACAGGTGCGTCGGGGATGGGTGGGGGAGTATAAAGAGCGGCCGTCGCCCGACATTCGCGTCATGTCCGCTTAATGACGACTGATGGATCTACCGCTCATGACGTTCGGATTACCCCCAGATCCGTACAATCCGGTAACGCTGTGTTATACTGGCATTTTTCACAGATATTTATGATAGTATTAGCTTTAGAAAATATTGTTTTGGCTACCAGAGATAAAGTGGCAGTGTAAAATATGACTATATATAATTCTTTTGTGGACTTGGAAAGTCTGGTCGGATTTATTGTTATCTGGAAGTAAATTGTGTAAACACTGCATTACACATTATACAATCCTTACTTGAAATAGGTTAAAATATGTATAGACTATTGAATAATATGATATTTTTACATTATATTTTCTAGTATCATAGAATAAACTCAAATAAACTTTGCTAAAAATAGCAATCCATCAGACGGATCTTATGTCATTCTTTTAGCACAGTAGTAAAAAGTTATTATATTATCTAGTACTGATTTTAAAAGAGTAATTTCATATCCGTAAGTACTATTCACTCCGCAGGTAGATAACATAAACATTGTATGGCAAATAAGATATTGCATTACCATAATACCATAATAGTCTTAATATGATAAAATTGGGGGCGAGCCACGCACGTAGCGGTAAACAATTTGGTTCACTACTCAGCTCCATATTGATTATGCATAATCTGCTAGCACTCTGGAGATTATTTGGGAGCCCGCGGAGTTTCCTTTAAAACGAGACCAGTGGTTTTTGAGGTGATCGAATATAAACAATCGACACTCTACAAGCCCTGTACATAACACGAGAACAGATATTGGCATGCGACTTCGTGGCTCAAATATAAACGGCGTGCACGAGACTATTCTATTTGTTAAGTACGCTCGTAACTTCTTATTGAATCAGCTTTGGATTCGGCAAAAAACGGCTGTGAAAGGTAAAAACTCTACAGGGAAAATTGTGGCGACTACTTTATCTTTAGCTGGAGCTCTCGACGGCGAAAGTACGATTATGCTCGACTGGCTTTTATTCGTATTATCCTTTGTTCAACTGGATAAAAGAGCATAGCCGAAACGTTTTCCGAAAAGGCGCTTCAAATAAATTAGGACGCACTTTAAAGAGCGTGTTTACATCTCTGTGGGAACATAGACGAGAGCGCTGCCAGGCTGATATGAGAACGCGCAATTTGTCGGGCGATGGCTCGGTGTCGCATAAAAGAATAATAACGAGGAATGTACAATTTAAACGGCGACAATTGGAAGGGGGACGGCTGAGTGACGCGTCGGACCGCGCGGCGCCGCGGGCGGTCGTGCCGCGTCGCACAATGAAAACGACGCTCGTTTCACCGGAGAACCCATTATGAGAATGTCAGTTGGCAAGTGAGAAAGAAGTCAAAACTTCGCCGGCAAACATGGAACTATTTACTGCTTCCACATTCGGCGACGTGTGCTGCGAACTTGGATGCAATTTGTTAACCCTTTATCGCGGAGTGCAGACTCGGGTCGAGTGAGGGGTGTCCCGGAGCTCGCGGGCGCGCGGTGGCGACGAAGAACGACGGTGCAACGAGCAGGTAAGTTGGCCGCCGGCCAAAGATCTGTTTTCGTGTTGTTGCCGAACAAACTCACAGATCAGTTTTTATCGCGCGAAAGGCCTTTATAGCCGACCGATAGCGGGCGCCTCCCGCCGAAATGTTTTCGCGTCGCCGCTGAACACAAATATTATTGGATGGCTTTATGTATCGGAAGTATTATACGTTAAAAACTTTGGCACTCCACTGCTGATATAGCGACACTTCAAAATTGACATAATTGTCAGTTGAAATGCTGATAGTGTTTTAATATTTACGTTACAGCACAATATACACGGATATCGTGTTTGAGGTGGCTATATTTTGATGGAACTCCGTCCAATTTATTTTCGGATATTTTCTATCTTGACAATGTTCCGTTCACTAACATTGATTGATAACTCCGCCGTAGTAAAATATTTATGTGAACATTTACTAAATGCGTGTGGTTTTTCAGGTATATTTCTGTAGTCTGAAAAAAGCCCAGTAGTATTTTTACAAACTTTTTTCTCATGCTTCGCCCGTTTTATATGAAAACGTTATAGATGTATAAAAAATGGATCTAGAATAAATACATGACTTACTCCACAGAATATTTTTATAAGATTACCGTCCACTTCAGCTGGTTGGTTCAGTTGAAACAAAATGGCATGGGAATTTAAATTCAGTTATTTAACATTGTAGAGTATATACATCTTATATATTTTTTATGGGTAATAATGGAAGAGTGGTTCCTGTAACGCATTGCACTGACAGTACTGTAGGAAAAAACGACAGTATGAAGATGAAGTCAATCAGGTTAGTCAGCACATGAAGATGGATTTATCAATGGGTTTTAGGGGCCGCTTGCCTCTTGGTCTGTGTATGCATTTTTATCTTCATCTGAAAATAAAACTTCAAGAAAAGTTGTTTTATTTTTAGGTCCCACAGTATTTTAGTAGCGATCACTCCACAATTCTCAAAATGGCAATTATATTTCTGTATTTACACAATGTCTTTTTAAATAATAGCCTATGATGAAAATACATTAAAATTAAATAAAAATCAATATCTGTTTAACTTGAAAGAGCAACCAATATATATGCATTTAAACAAATAGAACCATAACTTTATAGAACAACCGGTTAAAGCTGAAGCATATATATACTAACTAGGCACTTGTAAACAAATATGTCAACACAAACAAATGTAGATTTGACTCAAAGAATCACAATTCAATACAAAATGAAGCATCGTAGCAGCCATGTTTGCGTGTTAACTTAACAAGATAATTTGTCAAAGGCCTTTTGAGGGCCTTTTTTTGCTCAGAGCACATTTTATTATTTGACAGACATCATCTTGTGTAAACATACGTTTGTTACATCCATCCTGGAGGCTTCTGCGTCACGCAAAAGGACATCTCGAGCCGTTGAGGGATTTTCCCCTTGTTGTTTGTTACTTATAGTTTTTTTTTTGTTTATATTAAACATAATAATATTGTTTGGTTATTGAAAATTGTGATGTCGTTCGTATAAAGTACAGTTTTGTCATGCCATTTAAATATATATAATATAAGTAGAGTAGTTAAAACTCATTGTATCTAAATTTTCAAAAGATGTACAGTACATATACATACTAATAATTTTTGAGCCTGCCCTAAATACTGCGGAGAGAGAAAGTTTTTCATGAAAAATAAATGTTACTTTTTGACTATTCTATTCAGTTAGTATAATTCAATTTCTAGACAATAATAAAAATGACCTTATACAGTTCAAAGCAAAAGTTTATATTCACAGTTTACATTCACCAGACCAATACATATGATTGTGTATTGGTCTGGTGGTTTTCTATGTACGAGTACGAGATATATTCTCTTTTTCTCAGTTTCGGCTTTCACGAGGTTCTCGTCATGCGGTATGGTGATGTCTTTTCTCAGCTTTTGCTGGTTTCTTATCACATTTACGGGCCGAAACCAAGTAAGAGCAGTGTGTGTGTGTGAGTATGTATGTACTTATTGTGTGACGAGTATTATGTCCTTTTCATCCATTTTTTAGAAATTATTATAATTATTACATTAGTTGTCTAGTACCCATAACACAAGCTCTGCTTAACTAGGGACTAGACTGCGCTGTGTAAATTATTTTCGGTTATTATTATTATTATTTTTTTTATATATATATATATTATATGTCTCCCATAGATGGGGCAATAGACTGATCATTGCGGGTAAAAATCACCAAACAATGACAGTATAAATTATGAATGAGGATGGATAATTTTTAAGTGGAAGACAAAAATTTGCGGACTATTCTACAAGTGTTTAATATTACAGCTTTTTGGAGAAGGATGAAAGTAAGTGGGTGAAGTTGTAATATCTTGAGGCTAGTGTGTAGGGATGTTGGGATGACACCTGTGGACGAGATAATAATTGGGAGAGTTTTCACTGTTTCTAACTGCCATTGTATTTTTAGTTCTATTATTATTATTATTATTCTACCTTTTATTCATTTACCGTTTCTCCGTAGTAGGTACCACGGAGAAACGGTAAATGAATAAAACTCAATGAATAGATCGTAAACTTTTGCTATTGTTTACCAAGTATTGTATATTCTTCAGCGCTTTAGAATTGTACAAATTATAATTCATATCCCAGGGAAATGAATACGAAATGCGCACAAATAACTTATCACGACGCTATATTATTACAGTGTGTGCTCGCTCGAATCTTTCATTTTAAAGTTATCGTTACCAAGTTTGTACCCCGCGTATAATGTGCTGGATGATTTCAGGAGCAGTGTAAACAAGTGATCTGTTCCGCGGAACGGAGCGTAATCACAGGGTATATACTATACTAAAATAACGAGTATTTCATACCTATTAAAATATCGCGTTCCGTATAAATTAACGGAACACCACTTGGCTGTTATTTTAAGCTGTAAGCGTAGTATTTTTAATTCGCTCCAAACAATTTCAGCGGGAAGTTCTGTTCGTTTTGTTATTAATTTTTTTTTGGTCATTATAATGCTGTTTTGTACTATTCAAATTAAGTTAAGTAATGTACATTTATGTATTGTTTTAATTATGAACGTTTACTTTTACGCTTTTATTGAACGCTGATTTGATATTTTCTGATTTCTATTTTTATACAGCATATAAGTGCTTAATTACATTTTTATTTGTAAATACATACGTACGTATACGTGCCCTATATAGTAAATAGTCAGACCAACACATACAATCATACTTACGATTACAAAATATTTGTACTATGCGAACGAGTGAACCCGCGACCGCCGGGTGTAAAGCGACTGGTGTGCTAAATCGCTATACCACTGAGGCCGTTATTGAGGTTATGGGACACACTATTTCTAAAGTAATTAGCTGTGATAAATATTTTATTATATAGAGACACTATAGATTGGGGATTTTCAAGCAATCAAGGGTATAGGGTTTCTTAAGTCGAAGTCGGGAATGCGTTAATTGACACTCTTTTCTTATGTTTCAGGCGTCTATAGGTTACAGTAACCGTTTACCATCAGATGTGCCGTATGCTTGTTTGCCAACGACGTAGCATAAAAAAATAGATATTTAAGTCGAGTCGAGAACGCTTACGTGATACGTGGTGTTTCAGGCGTCTATAGGCTATGGTAACCATTTACCATCAGATGGGCAGTATGTTTATTTGCTAAAGTTGTACTATAAGAAAAATAGAATTTAACATTATTAGAGATAAGTCCAAATTCAAATTCAAAATTCGAATTTGAATTTGTCGACCTTTGCTCACTTTGTTTGTAATTAAGTTTACTATGATATTTCAAAGTACAAAAAAGGACTCCGACACATCTTTACACGTTAGCAGATATAAATACATATATTATTATATCGAGTAGCACATGAATCGAATCTCAAGAGCGTCGGTTAGTGTGAGTTCACTCGAGTATATAGTATTTTTCATTCGATTTACTGTGTAACCGTGGCCCGGCTCGCCCCGGCTCACCCGCCCCAACTGATAACAACTCAAATGAAACCCGCCCTCAACTTCTGTGACGCTCTTATCGCGCCAAATTTGTTCCAAGTTTGAAATATCGTTGGATTTTTGACGTTTGAAAACAAGCCTAAAAATAAT